GAACAAACGTGTAACACGGAAAAAAATTTCACTCTTGAAACTGCGTAAATTTTTTTACAGATAGATAGTACTGAATACTTGCAAGAGTTTTCGTGGCTACGTAGACAATATTGATATTCTTTTTACCAATTTTCCGTATTGATTCTAAAATCTCTGGATATTTCTCACATTTTTTCGGGGTCACTAAAATTTCCGTCTATTTACTGGATTTTCTGTATAGTCCGTATCAGTTTATACCCCAGACGGTAGTAAAATAAGAAATTTAAATGAAACATTACTAATATGAAGTTTAAAAATAGTATAAAAGATGCAAGATACATCGTGATAAAGTTATCTCGTAAAGAAAACATTAGGAGTCAAATCTTCTAAATATGTTGACTTTAATTTCAATAGAGGTTTAATAACAAGGAACAGTTATGGAAACAGAATAAAAACTTGAATAAAAGCTACAAAATAGCTCGGAGGCTGAGGGAAAGAAACTGTTTAAATTACTTTCAAAAAAAAATTATGTTAAGGTAGTCTATCACCCACCACTTTTTAACTTCGGTTTCCTTGAATTATAAAAGACTATTCCTACTACATTGGTTTTTGAGGTGATAAAGTTGCCACTTTAAAATTTTAACACAGGTTACAATGGGATTTTTCAAATACAGGCAAGAAGAGCTACTTAAGTAACTAAGAAAATCCTGAGAAATTTACCTTTAAAAAATTTATAACTCGTACTTGTTAGAATATAAGTAAATTTATATTGGTTGTAGTTAGCGACATCTACTGTACGGTGTAGATACGACTCGTACGAGACACGATAAGAGCAAGAGTATATGTGATAAGGAAGTATTTGGCAGACTGATTATGGCCGTTGCCGGATACGCACGCTCGCGTCGTGTCTCTCTCAGTGTCATGAGAGTAACTAGAAGAGTCGTTATTAATCATTATTTGTTATGATTAATAAACTTATGTATAAGTTAATCCGTTCTCTTCATTGTATTTGCTATCTCGCCATATATTTATTTTATTAACATGGTAGCAGAGTCCATGGTTGCAGTGTCGTTTAATTTTGATTTTTATTTTCATGGTTTTCTTCGGAGGCCGTGAACTTCAAGGAAGACACGTGCGTGGATGAAATTGAAAAGTTGAGACAAGGTGTTTACCCAACGAAAAAAGTTTGAGAAAATTGTGTAAAAGAGTGATCACTACTGATATATTGATAGTAAAAAGGTTTTGTTTTTGAAGAAATAGAAGAATCTGAAAAAGAAGAAGAAGCCAAGATGGCGGACGATATAAGAGTACCAGTTTTTGATGGTAAAGATTACAGTATTTGGAAGAAATAAATTTGGATACTTTTGTAGTTAAAAAAATGTGATGAGGTGGTAACGAGAGAGAAACAGATAACGAACAAAGAAGAAGAATGGTTAGAAAAAGACTTGAAAGCAATTAATTATATACATATACAGCATGATATGTAACCGTGGCATTTCCCGAGAACCACGTGTAGAGCGATTTTTTCTGACGCGAACCCCGTTGGAATTAATTTTTTAGGGCAAATAGCTTTTAAATAGGAGCCGATTAAAAATACGTTCCAAACTACCCCTGAATGGGGTTGGAAGGCTATAGCACGCCCGCATGAACTCGCGACGTTGCCACATTGTTATTGAAGTTTAGTCGGTAAGCAGTGAGAACTATATCCATGTGCGCACGCAAGAGCGTCAGCTACTGCTGGTAACTTGAAGGTTGGATGTAAAAATTTTTACCTTGAGGTAAATATTGTCTGCTCCTTAAGTTGTCAGTTGTTTATCCACGCGCTTACTGTCTTTCTCACTCTCATGTTGGACAAAAACATCTTTAAATTTTTATACTTAAGTAAT